CAGGACTCGTAACTAGGCAACACAATGGTCCGTTAAAGAGGAATAACGGTAGTTTGTCACGAAGCTTGCGTTTGTCAGTAAAAAGTACGGTTTCTTTGAGAAAGTTCAGACTCTTAGGACGTCGTATGATAACGTTGGGTCTTACCTAATCTAGAACGTGTCTTTCTCTCACTTCTTTGCCGTAATAATAGCCACAATCCACGGTGACGGTACTCGCGAGTCTCAATGGCGGCCAATAACGGAATATTGGATATATCCAGCGAACAAACCAGTTATTTGATACTGCAAGAGGACATTTCTGCGATCATTGACTCAACATGTCTCTTCACACAGTTCTCCTGTCCACAACGGACAGTGAAATGTGTATTTTCTCAAAGCTGCACCACAGGTTTAGTTCCTCCACTTTTATCTTCCGGAACTTCCGGTCATCCGTCTCGACCACAGGTAAGCTCTCTTTAATTAAACACAGGGGAGAGGGTGATGATTTATGTCAGGAGGGAAGTTGTTCCACCCCTTGTTTCTATAAACTTAATATTTTATACATGTGTGAATTTTGTGGACAATTTTGCATCGTTTTTTTCATTGTATCGTTACTCCAGAATATTTTGGAAAGATTAGGAATTGTTTATTAACAAAAAACGGAGTATAAGACAGAAATAAATTGAACGGTAAAGGACAATATATTTTTAATTTGTTTATGCTGTTAAGAAAATATCATATACATAAGAAAAAGTGGGCTCAATGTAAACCAAACTTTACCCATTTTGTGAATGACCTTAAAATATATGTAAATCTTTTAGAACAATCACAAAACAAAAAAGCACTGAAAACATGTAATGATCTGAAAACATTTATATTTCATGTTAATGTAATTTTACTTTATTTATATATATATATATATATATATATATATATATATATATATATATATATATATATATATATATATATATATACATATATGTGTTTTTTCTCTTTCAGAAACTATGTGAAATGTAATCCCTCTCGTTCTTGTGGCATTGAGTTAATAAAAATAAATAAATAAATAAACACCCTTTGTTTCTAGAAAAACATAGAGGAAATTGGTTGTGTGACCACATACGTTTGAAGAGCCCTCCAATTTACCCATCCGTCCTGCAAAGAAGAGAGACACTACGGCAAACCGTTTTGACATTTAATCTAAAACCCGCACTACTATCTATTTTCATGTTTACTTGTACTTATTTGTTCTAAAAAAAAAAAAAAAAGTCTAAAAAAATAGTACTACTGAAAAACTACTAGTATCTATTTAATCAATAGTAGTAGCTAATAAATAAGTAATAGTACCCAATGAATAGTATAGTACACAAGTTGTAGTATCTATTAAATAGGTACTATCTAAATAATAAGTGCTAGTCCCTAATGATTAACTACTAGTACCAGTACATAAAAAATATGTACTAGTCTCAGCTGGAATACATACAAGTCAAAACTGAACAGTTGATATCTCAATAATAGATCCCATAGAAATCGATAGAAAACAATGTAATTTGTTACTAGTCACTATTACAATAAGTACTAGCATATCATAAATAAGTACTAATATCTAATAAAAATAACTACTAAGCACTAGTATATTTTGTATATAAAGCACTAGTATCTAATGAATAGTACTTAATCAGGGTTCAACGCTTAGGATTTTTTCCACTGGCCCAACATTGTTTATATTTTACAGAACAACTAACCACAAAATTATAGGAGCAGAAAAAGTCAATCTGTCTACATGTTTTGTGCTTTAAATGAGGAAAATAAACATGCAATATGGATGTGGCCAAAAAAAGTCTGCGAGTTTAGAGAATTAAACATGCTTTGTAGAAATTCTGTGAAATAACCTGCACAACCCCCCAAAAACTATGCTAATCAAAAGGATACGAGTTGAACCTCTGTAGAACAAACATGATTGTTTTTATTTTTTTAAATATTTTTTTCGTTTATGAGGAAAAAGCTTTGTTATGGGTGTGACGTCTCTCCGTTATGGATGTGACACATAAATGTGAAATTGCCGCTTATGTGACTTTGGTAAATCAAATACAATATTGACAGATGCATTTTTGAGTATTTCTAAAGTACTGTCACATACTTGCTTACACTAAGAACAAACCGCGCTAGCTGGGGAATCGAGACAGATTCAGATACAAACGTCTATGTGTGAAAGCACCCTAAGATTGAATTTGCATGCAATTGACAGACAGTCACCGCCAAACTTTTGTGACAAGGCAGCACTGGCTTAATCAGGCCAGTCATCATTCTGTACACTGGCCTGAGCGTCTCGCACACTGCCCCGGGCCATCAGGCAGTCCTTATTGTTGAGCCCTGTTTAATGAAAAAAGATACTGATATCTAAAAAACAAGTACTAACCTGTAAATAGATGAAGGGTTCAGATGGAAAAACCTCTAAATGCCGTTGAAAATGTTCACCTAAAATGAGCTTTTTTTTTATCAGCCACCTATGTTTATGTTCAGTTATTTCACTTGAAAGGCAATGAAAACTTATTCATCACTATAAAAGTGAAATTACTGAGACTACACACAGGATTCAGGGAAAAATGCTAATTTTAGAAGAAAATATCAAATGGCTTTTAGAGGGTTTTGCATCTAAACTCTTCAGATAGTGTGGGTTGTAGATTAAATGTCAAAACAGCTTGCTATGATTACATTTTAGCTCTGAAAACTGCTTTTATTTTGCCTTTCAAAGCAAATTTTATATGATCAAGGTTTTTTTAAATGTTTTGTCAAAACATTTATAGACAAGCTTGACAATATCTCATGCATGTTTTAGTACTTTAGTAGGCTACACAGTAAGTCTGTACAGTTAGCAAGATGTTCTAAACTGCTGGATCATGCTGGTCTTTCATTGTCAGGCTATGGTGAATTGTGCCAAAGAGGCTGGGTTAAGTTGGCACAACTCACCCCCATTTATGATTAATTTCAGCGTATTATTTTATTTTGTGTACTGCATTCTTACATTTTACCACTTAAGCTTTGTGACTTTATCATTGTGAGCTTTGCTGGTAACAACAAATCAAATAGCTATGATGCATTGATGGAAAAGATTTATGATGCAAACATCAGCGCAAAGTGTTGCAAAAATGATGGAGTCGTTCCTAGACGTGACACGCTCAAGAAACTACCCACAACCCAAAAACCTGCTGGTACAGCCAGAGGCGAGCAGAAGTTCACATTCCCCTGCAGCGTCAACAAGCGTGGTGTAAAGTAGTAGGCCAGATCTAAATAGTTGGTGTTCTTTGGTTCCACTATCGCTAACAATGTATGAAACTGAGCTGTGGACGTCCTGAAAGTTGAAGGACAATTCTCCAAAAACTAAATTTACCTCGTTTACTCAAGTATTATGAACACAAGTGAAGATATTTTGAAGAATGCTGCTAGCTGGTACCCACTGACTTCTAGTAGCAAAAAAAAAAAACAATAGATGTCTATCAGTGCAACAAGCAACATTCTTCAAAATATCTTCGAGTAAATAATGGCAGTTTTCATTGTAATTCTAGCACAAACTGAAGCATAAGTGTGTGTTTCCATTACAGTTTAATGCAAAACTTACATTTTCCAAAATCTGTTGTGAAATGAAGGCATTTCCATTCTAGCCATTGTTATGTGAGTAAACTTCAATATTTGCTGGTCAGACCTTGAAAAAACCCCAAAAAACGGTTCAGTAGATATTACAGTAGGTTTACTCAAACCATTGTCAACACACTCTTATTTTTCACATTATCCTACAAATGGCAGGGCAATGTGCTTTACACATTACATGATGCTTAAATATTGTTATATAAAGGCTAAATTGAGTCTGCAGTTTGTAAAAATATATTTGATGTTTTGTGTTGTTCACACTTATTGTCAGATAAACACACAGATAAAGTAGTTCAGGCATGTTTTGAGTGCATTACAGTCCCGTATTACTACGCTGAAGGATTTCAGTTATGTTAATGCAAGGAGCCGGTGTGATGAACAAAGAGCAGGAGTCAGAGAGACAGTTTATTGAAGACAATAGTTTACAGTTTGATCAACAGAAAACAGCTTCAACACACTCCATAGGGGTCATAGTCTCAATTTCACAGAAATCATAGAAAGAGCAGCACACATGTGGTCAGTGACAAAATCAAATCAAATCAAATCATCAGGAATCCATCAGGAATTCATAATTCTGACATCATGCTGTTTTCCACTTCTGCTTCCCATATTGTGCACTTCCTCCTGCAAGCGTCGCAGTCAGAGCTGTATGCAAATGAGGACCGGCTAAAGCATCCTCATTGGTCCATTAGCTCTAGATTAACAGCTCCTCCTCCAGCCAATCAGGTGAGGAGGGAAGCTGACGTCACTCTAATGACTCAGAGGCGAGGACAGAGAAGTGTATAATAATTAACAATCGCTCTTAAATAACAAACTGTGACAGACAGGAGAAACTAAAGAAACCAGACATAAAGCAAACAATGAATACAAGTTGTTTAAAACAACTCTAAAAACTAAGGCCTAACCAAGCCCTAATCCTAACCTAACCCTAACAAACACCCTAACCCTAAACAATAAATCAAGCGTTTAGATGAACTGGGAAAGCAGAAACAGAAAGAAAGAGGTGAGATTTGGCCTCTTTACTGAAAGATGATTATTTCTGTTCTGTATGTCTAACCCTAAACCCTAACCCTGACTGATGATAATTCACTAACAAACACGTTTAACTATCAAACCTTTAACTATCACTAACTTACTCCATAACTAGACCTCAATCTCCGGCATCACCTGTGCGCATCGGCCGCCATTAGACTGACATTTATATTTCATTTATTTATTATTTATTTATTGCCACATCGGCAACTTATGGCTATTTCATAGCAAAATGGATATACATAAAAATTTTACATGATAAAGACAATTTGTAAAATATAAAAATTTGTATTACAATAAAAAGTTACTTGTACAAATATGTAGGATATAAATAAATAAACTTTAAGATTTAAAATACTGAAAGACTCTTTGTGGTACCTTTCTAAAAATGTGCATCAAAGTAGTCTAATAACATTCAAACTTCCACATTCCAACAAAATATGTTTTAGGATAAGAGCCATTACAGTGACATCAGCTTTCCTCCTCGCGTGATTGGCTGGAGGAGGAGCTTTCAGTCGAGAGCTGGTGGACTAGACTGAAACCGGCCCTCATTTACATGCAGCTCTGACTGCAACACTCGCAGGAGGAAGTGCAGAATTTGGGAAGCAGAAGCGGAAAACAGCAAAACAATGTGACATAAATGGAAGTCTGAAAACCTGTTTCCTGCTTCTGATGGGCTCTACGTCATGCTGAACCACTTGGAAAGCATAAACTCCTCATGTTCATCAATTGACTAAAACAGTCTTTATTTTCACTAGTTTCTTAGCCACGGCTGGTCCAGAATCTCATCCACTGTATGCTGGATCTCTTCTACAACATATTGAGGGGACCAGCAGGCAGCAATAAACTCCATGAATCCTGTAATAATTTAAAAGAGAAAGTTGGTTAATTGTGGACACACAACTGACATGTGTGGAAACATCACACACACACACAGAACACGCTCTTTCCAGCAATCTTCTTTCTGCGTTCACACAGCGCAGCATTCCAGCAAATTACCGGTAACATTACAACTTTCAGTAAAATAGCCAGAATGAAATCTCCTGTATTTTAAAAAAGGGTTTTTTTGCTATTAAAATGGGGTTTGGGTAATTTCTGACCCATTAGTCAACAGGAGAGTTGAACAGTGTTAGTTAGAGTCGTCTTCTTACCTGTAGGTATGCTGGAACAATGTCTTGCTATATCCTGCACGATGGTAACCAGCTGATTCATCGTCCTTTTTTCCGCTCTCTCGGGAGATATCACTGTGTCTGGCCGTGGGTGATTCTCTGGATCTGTCAGGAAGAGATGTGTAGAGTTGAGATCAGCTAAAACCCCATTCAACTGATTATTAGAGACTAATGAACGCTTACTGTTTCCTCCTGAAATAATCAGACTTACCATGGAAGATGTGCAACCCACATCCAAAATCTATCAGCTTAATGTGCAGAGGCGGACTGATGACCAGGATATTATGATCGTGGATATCAAAATGACAAATTTCCTTCCTCGTGCACGCTTGAGCCGCTTTCACGATCTGCTGGATCAGTGTGCGAGCGTCTCTCCTCTCCAGGTGTGGGTGCTCCTTCAGGAATTCTGCTAGAGTTCTGCACAGGCCGGGATGCTCTATCACCATCACTATTGACTTGATCGTTCTCTGAAAGCAAATGCAATCAATTAAAATCAAGCACATGACAGCAGTCCTCAGGTCAGTCTTTACACTGGCTTCCAGTTACATTCAGGATAGATTTTAAAGTAGAAACAAGTTTATTTCCCTTACCGCACCGGCATATTAATAACCCACGAGCTCTTCTGAAAATAAGACAGAGTTATGTTCTTGTTCAGAAATGCTTCTTGATTTAAGAATTTTTAGTTACAAAATAAAAAAAAACAATAAGAAACGAGACAAACCCTCTTACAGTGCATATTTCATGTAATGTGCTGAATAAACAGACTTACCCCGTCTGGAAATTTCTCCTCTTTCACCAAAAACCACTCTTGGAGTTTGATGAGGAACCGGCAGGGGGAATCTCTCAAAATGGTCATCATCACCACTTCCTTTGGGAGCTCTTCAGGATAGCCAGGCTAAAGATAAAGAGCACATTAGCTGCAAATCAACAACATATAATCCTGTTTTCCAATATAATGGTAAAAGAAAATCTGTAAATCAGCAGTTTCCCGTATTTTGTGTTTCATGTTTGTTGTGTGTGTTTATTTATGCTTTTGAATTGCATTGTGGGACATATATTATCTGTACTGGTCTTGTCAATTGTGGTGTAAAAACCCGTTCATTTTTGGAAGCTTTGGTATTATCAAGATATTGAGCTAAGCTGTGAAACATTACTTTAACAGGTTTAATACTTAGGCCCCGTTAACACTAATATGTTTTAGTTTTAAAATACGAAACATACCCTCTCTTTAGCTGAATATCAGTTTTAATGATCAATAATGGCCATTATAAAAGTATAACGTACAATAAGTTTATACATTATAGTAAATACAGGCAAGCAATCATTTAATATACAAAATGTACGTGGTTAGAAAACTCGGCAGAGCACAGATAAAGGTCCCATCATAACCGTAAATAAACAGAAAACAGCAGTGAATCACAAAATAATTGACAGATATTTGTATATAGTTTGTACATATTACCACAGCCGTAAACAGACTCATTTATTAAGTGTATTTTGTGAAGCTTTAAATAGACTTACCACATCGCTGTCATACCTGGAATCAGTCATCTTGATGGCAAACTGTGGATGAAAAGTAGAATAAAACATTAGTGAGCAATCAAACATGATTTCTTCAAAGTTTGTCATCTTAACTGGACTAGGGAAAATAGACTTACTCGTTTTCTGTCCGATTTTCTGTATCCAACATAGACGTCGCCAAAGCTGCCCTCTCCTATTTTTTCTCTCACATCATACTTTTCTTCCACTGAAAGATAAAAAAGCATGTTAATTTGAGACAGGTTCAGGTTTTGCCTGAACAGACATTCAATAAAAATACATTCAAATGTAAAAGTTACCAGAACCAGGAGAAGGCCCTATTCTCGGTGTAGATGATGGACTGCTTCGTCCCGAAGGACCAGGAACATTAGACATACTTTGTTCCATTAACTTATCAGTTAATAACTTTCTCTAAAGTATATGAATCAATTTACTGCAATTAATTCTCTGATTGTAAATCTGTTCGCCTTGTCTGAGTGTCCAATGCGGAGCTTCTCAATATTCGTCTACTCTGTCAGGCGTCTGGTTAATTGTGACATTCGCAGAATAGAACGCGTTCTATTTAATCAGATGACGTAGGATGGAGGGAGACCAAGATGGCGGCGCCCTAGGTACAGGTATTCGTTTATTCGTTTATTCTTCTGGATTTAAAAGGTAAAGTGGTATATCAACCTACTGCTTAACACTGGTGATGACATTATAAAATACGCATGGACGTTATGACATCTTTGTGCATGGGGAAAAGAGGCAAGAATAAAGTTAATCACGCAAGGTCGAACTTGATGGCTCAGCATCGGCCTGTAGCTCTGGACTGAATATCCAATGTGATACGGAATCATGATGCGTTGACACTTGTCCGAACTTTAAAAACGAGGTTTTTGTAACTTAGCTGAGCTACAAATGAATAGTTTGAAGACGTCAGCGACGGCGCGACAGTTCTTCTACCGCGGGTAATTTATTTATTATTTATCGAGAAATTAAGCCTTGTGCAACCTAAAAGGCACTTATTTATGCATATACGACCTTTTTGCCTCAAACCATAACAGGAGTAAATAATTTAATTGGTTTGAATGTCAAACGTCAAACTAACTTTACCGCGGTGCTTCACCGGGATGTCGGCGAGCACAGAGCGGCTCTTGTGAAGCAGAGATCGGCGCGCTGAGAGGAAAACTAATCGCTGAACGCAAGTGTACTTGATTGTAAGCGCTACAGTTGAAGGTGCTGTCTAAAGCAACATGATGTTACCGAAAATGTCCGATAAGTAGTTCTCAACATATTAGGAAAGATCGTTCCAGATGAACTTCAGGACAGTGCTGATATTGCTCACCGTGTGGGTCCCAAACGCGCTGATGGCAAACCAGATCGGTCATAATCCTCTTCACTCTGCGCCGCGTTCGTGACATTACTCGGGCTGCAGATTTCTGAAAACTGACTGCATCTATCAAAGTGTCTGTCACCAGATGACAGGGCAGCACGAGACAAGCTGTGGCCTCTCGCGAAGAAAGCACGCGAGGAGGGCAAGAAGGCATCCTTCCGCAACACTTGCGCTGATTGATGGAAACAATTCCCTTGAACTCCGATGTTCAGTGACTGTTTACACCAGAGGACTTTTCATCACGTTTACGTGTTAAATATAATAAGCTTAAGCTGTGTAAAGCTAACACGAATGTGCTGGATTAGTTTTTATTATTACTTTTACCAATCTATTTCCCCCAATTCACTGAATCACCTTAAAACACTGTATTTTGGGTTGTAATATCCAGGGATGGGCAGTATTTATGATACAAGTGTTTAAATATATATTTCAAATACAAAATAGTATTTTGTAATTATTATTTTACAGGGTTTATGAAAATGGGTGAATATTTTGTATTAAAATACTTTAGTGTTTTGTGTTTTTAAAATACTTTGTAAGAAATCTACATGATGACTAGGGATGCAACGATTACAGATTGTGGTTGTACGATTATAGTCTGGGATAATCACGGTTAAAACGGTTATTATGCGTTTTTTCATTTCGAAATAGTACTAGTTTAGAAAATCACATGAAAACTTTAAAATATGAAACCTGAAAGTAAATAGTTTTTGATAGTTTTAAATTTAAGCATCATATTAGTTAAGTATTTCCCATTTAAATAGTACAAATGTAGTCAAAGACTGCTAAACCTCTGTCTGAAAGGCACTAATATGCATGTAAACCTCGTGCCTCCATTGGAAGTAATGAACTTGTGCGCATGAAAAATGGGATATGTGAATGGCCCTTAGTTATCTCCTTTGAAGGAGCAACACAATATTATCCAGCTGCAGGTCCGCAGAACCACAGACGTTTCAGGCACACACAATCTAGACAAACCATGTACTGTTATGACGGATGTTAATGTTATTAATGTCTTCTCAGACATCGTCATAAATATATTTTTACATGTATTGTCAATAAATATTATAGTAAACAATAATAATAATAAACTATTTCACAAATATTGCGATCGAGACAGGCGAATAGAGAACATTGATCATAGACTTGACATCAGTCATCATAGATGATCAGTCATTATTATTTGACAGAGTCAATAGCAGATACTCATTTGCTGACATTGATAAAACATTTTTCAGAGATATATAAACAATCTAATTGGACAGAATTATTTTAAATATAATGGATTCGTTATAATGAAGGAAATAATAGCAAGTTAATATGTTTTGACAATTTTGAGGCATGAAAACAAAAACAATGGTCCCAAAGTATTTCCTGTTTTACACTTTTGATTTCTCTAGCTTCCGAGAATTCAAAGAGAGCCACATATTGATAAATAACTTTATAATAGCTGTTATAACATTAAGTTATGATAAAATTGCCTCTTGTTACAGTTATGAAATAGTTTGATAACTAGCAGGAAATGGACCAATGACATCTCCGCATGAAATGATACATTTTATAAGTGTCCAGTGATTTAATAGTATTTCATTTGCTTAATTTTCATATAACTTTCTTATTAATGATTTCCCATATTAAATATTATAAATGATAGTAAGTCATATATTGTTTTTATATTGTAATATAGTATTGTAATGTAGTCGCAGGTCACGCCCACTGTAAACAAACAAGAGCGCAAGCATGCGGAGAGATGGCGTCAGATAGGTCATTATTGCGTACACGGAGAATCGACACACTAACATTACATGTAAATGTAACGGAGAAGCACTTCTGCAACGAGACCAACAGCCTGTAAGTACATTTAGACTTATTCAGTTGTTGTGTATGGTTCGAGGACATCTAGGGCTCTATCATACACCTGACGCAAGGCAGCGCTCGAAATTAACGTTCTTACTTGGTAGCACCGGTGCTCCCAACCTGAAGTATTTAGGAGCACCAGAAAAAATTTAGGAGCACCCAACAAAAATGAATGATATATTTGAAAAGTTGTATATTAAGGGATTTATTGTATTTGAAAACAACATCAATTGGGACTAACAAAACCCAGAAACAACTATCTAACTAATGCTGTGATGATTTAATATGTGTTCAATAATTCCAAAATGAATGTAGAATAATTATAAAATATTAATGATGACGATGATGACAATAATACTAATAATGAATTACATTTCTCATCATCAAGCTGCCTTGAATGTGCTTTAATGTAAGTTATCTGCTATATAAAGTCCTGCTGTTACTTTATAAAAAATAAATTGATGGTTTGCATCAAACACAAATGAAGCATTGCAGTAAGAAATATTTATTTTGTACTATTGTTTTTATGTGCATGTCAATTTATTAAATAATATTTCTGCTACAAAACAAACGAAATAATATAATAAATCATTCAATTCAATGCCGAAAGCTGCAAAGCAGTCATCAGTAATTAAATAGAAAAATAATATACACCTCAAGAAAGAGCGGACAAAAGAAAGGAAGAAAAGTCTCACTTTTAAAAGTTTTGGTTTCGGCTCGTGTCATTTTAATGTTCAGCCTCGTTACGCGCTGAATTACATTTGTCTGTGTTTGCAGAAAAGCATGCGAGTCAGCCGACCCAATATATGACGGGGGCAGAGCAGGATTCTCCCGATGACCACCAGTGCAATACTGTTCTTTGTTATAATCTGCGTCAGTGTAAGCTCAGTAAAGGTGAGCTTCTTTGGCGATGGTGTTTTAGCAGACATTTGCGCTGTTGCAGCCTGATCTCACGAGGAAACGTATGAAAAAGATACGAATTGCTGTGAGATTGTGTTGGCTAAACACGCAGCGCATGCAACGCATCGAGATTCAGTGTACTTTTCCGTTTGCATTCCCCGCGGTCACAAAAGCTCCCTTCCTGTCGACTGACAGCGGAAAGTCTTGAGTGATTGACAGCTAATATGAACCAAAATAGCAGCAGGGAAGACCGAATTCACGTTTTTAGAAAAAAAACAAAAACAGGTCGCACTCCAACCTAAATATTCAGTCGCACGAATGCTCCCATATATATTATGAGGTCGCATAACTGAAATTTCGGGCGCATATGCGACCAAAATAGTCGCAATTTCGAGCCCTGCAAGGCGCGGCGCAATACTTGTTTGCTTGTTTCAGCTTGGCGCAACAGTGGTTTTGAGGCGTTGCGCCACACTCTTTAAGTAGCAAATGCATTTGCGCTCATATGTGCGCCCATAGGCCTTCTGGTCTAAAAAGGAAGGCGTTCTGAGGCGCACTGCTGGCGAGTTGCTATTTTGAGAAACTATAAGAGATTTTTTAGATTTGATGTCTGTGCGTAAAGGTTTCCCTATCCACGAGAGCGAAAGCGAAAGTGAACTTTACATCATGTAAGTAGCAAATGCGCTATGGCGCGACGCAGCTGGCTCTTAAAGGGAATGGGAGATGAGATTCTGATTGGTTTA